AGGAGGAGGAGGAGGAGGAGGAGGAGGAGGACGAGGAGAAGGAGGAGGAGGGAGGAGGGAGGAGGGAGGAGGGAGGAGGGACGAGGGACGAGGGACGAGGGAGGAGGGAGGTGGGAGGAAGGAGGAGGGAGGAGGGAGGAGGCAGGAGGGAGGAGGAGGAGGAGGAGGACGAAGAGCCCAGTCAGTAGCAGGAGTATGAGCAGGGGCAGGAGAGGGAGCAGGTCGCCGCGAGCGGCGCGCGCCCGCCCGCAGCTGAACGCGCTGCTGGCCGATCCGGCGCGCGCCCCGGCGGAGCAGGCGGAAGCGGTGCGGGGGTTGCAGCAGGACGCCGCAGCCTCGGCCACGCGCAGAGGGGGGGTAAGTGGGAGGAGGGGTGGCTTCCTCCACCTCCTCCTCCTCATCATGATGATCCTCCTCCTCCTCTTCCTTCTCCTCATCCTCCTCCTCCAGCTGGCTTTCGGCAGATGTCGAGCACATCCCAGCCTGACTGAACCGTGCTTACTTTCCGCTCAACACTAGCTACACAGGCTTCTTTGGGGGGCCAGGGGTGAAGGGGGACGATGCAGTAACCATTCATCTTCCGCGACTAAGGAGTGTACGACTACAGGGCACTGTGCTTCACCTACTAGTGGTGCGAAGGGTGTGCTACAACCAACTGGCTGCGACTTCCAACGACCGACTGGAATACATTTGTCGGAACTACGTGAATTGGACATCATCCTTATTTCTGGCACGCATAAATGGGCGGGTCCTGAGCCGCATGGTAAAGACTCCGGGTTGACCAACCATCGGGGCATGCAGCTTAGGGGAAGACAGGGCGATGGATCAGCAAGTTTTGCGGCATGACCATTATGCTGCGAAGTGGGCGGATCAACGCACGCCACGCGCGATGGATCTATGTCCGCCCAGCTGAACTCCAAGGAAGCGTCGGTGGTTTGCGCATTGCGACTAAACGCTACGACATATCAGCGTTGAGAGTATACATACCACCCACGCGCTACAAGCACTATGGCGTCTGGCTTGAGCATGTGCGTGATGGACTAGGCGCGCAAACCACCACAGTGATCGGGGGGCCTGAATCCACAATTTGGCGTGAGCGTAGCAGTGGGGAGGTACAGCAATGATTTTGGTAACGGAAGCGGCACAGCAGTGAGAGAATTTGTGCGAAGGGAGTGGCATGATCACGGCAACCACGTTCCACGATTGCGGCCCTACCTACTACTCGGCTAAAGGAACCAATCCAAACATAGACCACAACCTGATGGCGGCTTTATCGCTCGTTCAAAAGTGCACAGTCCCCAGGGGCACAACGAAGAGACTCCAGCTCATGAAGAAACAAAGCAAGGGATCACCTCCCAGTAGGCATCAATCATGTGAGCGGCGTCGTCAGCTTCCAGGCGCCCACCGTCAGCGCGCCTGCGGAAACTGCCTGGACAACTACGACTAGACCGCAAAAGCTGATGAACTGCCTGCGAAGGGGGGGGCGTGAGGGCCAAGTTGTTGGAGGTGATGGAGCAGAGTACGGAGGCGCTAGAGGATATTGGGGGGAGGCAGTGAAGGCGGCGACGCCAGATCGGATGTGGAGACTATGGTAGCAGAGGGTGCTGGGCAGCATGTCGATTACGTGCCAGAAGATCAAGTCGGAGGCCACTCCAGAGGAGGTATTCTTGAAACGACGGCGGATGGAACTCCTTACAGAAGCTCCTAGAAGACGGGGGACACCCCGAAGGGAAGATCGTGGAGGCCATCTGGGTGGCCGATGGACAGAAGAAAACGATCACAAAGACATGCACGGACTGCGCATCGTATACCGGGGAAACGACCGAGGTCCCAATACAGGATATAACGATGCCCACAGGTGACATGGAGGAAAGGTCACGGGAGTGAGGTGCGCATCCGCACGATGGAGGGCCGGCAGCAACTCCTACCGACCTGGGCCAGCAACGGGCAGACATGGGGGAAGTTACCAGTGATCGAGCACCCTTACCAGAGGGCTGGGACTCGAAGAATCGCGCGCAGATGGACAGGCAGGCCATGCTGATGCATTGCAAGCAAGCGAAGAACATAAGGGCGTGTCCAGGGTGGGGCATCACTGCGGAGCTATCTTGGAGGAGCTTGAGCCCAAATCTGCATCTGTGTGATTCTGAGGAACTGAGTCGACAGATAGAGGAACGAAAAAACAGGAGGGGACGAGGAGGAACTTCCGACGTACACGAGCATTGCCAAGCGTGGGGAAAAGGGGCGGGTACTGGTGCTGAAGACGGGATGGATAGCAGGGTGTGGGGGGCGTGATGGCTAGCAGGCTTTGGGCGGCGGGCTGCCACTATGATTGATGTTTCCTTCGCTGCGCTTTCGACTCTGCTCGATCGCAATTCGCATTTCCATGTGCTGCCCGCGCTTGCGGATCCTCTGCGCCGCTGTTTTTGTTTACAACATGTGTGTGTGGCCGGTTGAGCGACTCGTCTGCCACGCACACCGGTGGTTCGAAGATGGGGTCCTG